AAGGTACAATAAAACTTTAAGGCTGTTTCATATACACTTCTTTTTGAGCCATAGATCCATATCATGGATCATAGTCCATAGCACCCGACCATGAACAATATGTTTACCACTCATGATGGCTCGGCCTTAACTCTAATAACTTGCATCAATAAGTATCAATGATATTTTGTTCGTTCACTTTTAGTAACATTATGTTCGCACCCTTTCGGTGATGTTATATTCACACCTTTTTGATGACGTTACATTCTCACCATTTTGGTGATGTTACATTCGCACCCTTTCGGTGACGTTCCATTTGCACCTTTTCGGTGACGTTACATTCACACCTTTTCGATCCTGGACCACTCGCACCCTTTCGGTGCCAAACCATTCGCACCCTTTTGGTGCCGAACCATTCGCACCCTTTCGGTGCCGAACCCTTCGCACCCTTTCGGTGCCGAACCGTTCGCACCCTTTCGGTGCCGAACCGTTCGCCCCCTTTCGGTGCCGAACCGTTCGCACCCTTTCGGTGCCGAACCGTTCGCACCCTTTCGGTGCCGAACCGTTCGCACCCTTTCGGTGCCGAACCGTTCGCACCCTTTCGGTGCCGAACCATTCGCACCATTTCGGTGCCGAACCGTTCGCACCCTTTCGGTGCCGAACCGTTCGCACCCTTTCGGCGCCGAACCGTTCGCACCCTTTCGGCGCCGAACCGTTCGCACCCTTTCGGCGCCGAACCGTTCGCACCCTTTCGGTGCCGAACCGTTCGCACCCTTTCGGTGCCGAACCGTTCGCATACCCTTTCGGGCCGAACCGTTCGCACCCTTTCGGTTCCGAACCGTTCGCACCCTTTCGGTCCCGAACCGTTCGCACCCTTTCGGTCCCGAACCGTTCGCACCTTTCGGTCCTGAACCGTTCGCACCCTTTCGATCCTGAACCGTTCGCACCCTTTCGATCCCTAACCGTTCGCACCCTTTCGGTCCCGAATCGTTCGCACTCTTTCGGTCCCAAACCGTTCGCACCCTTTCGGTCCCGATACGTTCGCACCCTTTCGGTCCCGACACGTTCGCACCCTTTCGGTCCCGACCCGTTCGCACCCTTTCGGTACCGACACGTTCGCACTCTTTCGGTCCCGATACATTCGCACCCTTTCGGTCCTGCCATGTTCGCACCATTTCGGTTCCGATACGTTCGCACCTCTTGGGTCACGACACGTTCGTACCTCTTGGTTCATGACACATTTGTACATCTTGGGTCACGACACATTCGTACCTTTTGGGTCACGACATGTTCGTACCTCTTGAATCACGATACGTTCATACCTCTTCGGTCACGACACATGCAAATATTATCTTCTAAAAAGTCAATATTAATATTTAAACTTATGAAAATGTATGAAAAATATGATTGTGGCTATTAAAATGAAATATATGCCTTTTTAATGAAGAGTTGTCAAATATTTGATGACATCACCAATCATATAAAAAGGTTTTTTTTGGTACATTAGATCTTAAAATCATGTTAACTATGACCATTGGATTGAATTTTTTTTTCCTATAAAAAAATGATGATATCACTTTCAATTTGCTATTATATATAGATATATAATAAATATTTAAATAAATAAAAACACAAAAAAAATAAAAAATGTTTTTTTTCGTTTTTTCGAATTATACTATTTTGAAATTCAAACTCTAAACCCTAAACCCTAAAAATCAACCCTAAAGCCTAAAATATCAATTCTAAACACTAAACCTTAAACCCTAAACTCTAAATTCTAAATCCTAACCCTATATTCTAAACCCTAAACCTTAAATTTTATACACTAACCCCTAAATTCTAAACGCTAAATTTTAAACCTTAAAACCTAAACCCCTAAAACTAAAAACCCTAAACCTTAAATTTAAACCCTAAACCCTAAATTTGAAATCTTAAACCCTTAGTTCTAAACCCTAAACCCTAAATTCTAAATCCTAAACTCTAAACCCTAAATTTTTAACCCTAAATCCTAAATTTTTAACCCTTAACCCTAAATCTAAACTATATATTTTCTACAAAATTAATTAAGGATACTATGGTCTTTTGACTATCGAAATCATAAAGATAAAGATGATTAATGTAAAAGTGAAGTAGTGTATCATAAATGTGCTAGTTTTAGTAATTTCTCATTATTTGGAGATACTAAATATTTATTTAATTATAGGGGTTTAAAATTTTCATTATTCTAAAACGTGCGCTGCGTTTATCAATAACTAAAGCAGAATATATTAACTAATACTCTTATAAATAATGAATCAATTATACACTTGGTGATAAAAATTAATATCAATGCTATTAAAACAAAAGCACATTTTATCTATTTACAAGTAGTTTAGGTTAAAACATTACGTTTATTTAATTTAATTTTATATTATATACAACAAACTTATATATTATTAATGAACACATAATATTAATATAATATTTAAATATAATCACAATAAGAGATCAAAACATACTCTTAACTACCTTTTCTGATTACATTTTAACAATATCTTTAATATATTTTTATTTTTTTAAATAAATATTTATTGTTTAAATATTTTTAATAATAAAAACGTAAAATAATATTAAATTAAATTACAAATGAATATTAACTCATTTTGATTTATAGAATAAGAAACAACCTTCTGTAACATTTATATATAAATATTTCATATCTATAACTAAAAAGTACACAAAATAATAATTATAATATAAATTAATCTATTTTATAAATTATAAACTAAATGAATTACGTTTACAGAATAACAAAATACTACCATAAGATATTAAAAATTATATTTTAATATACAAATTTAAATTAAAGCATTAGCATATAAAATTAATACTTAATTATATGTAAGTGATACACGAAATAATAAACAAATTTTTTAAACCTCCACCAATACGTAATAATATAATTATCATAGATAAAATCTTAAAATCGTTTATATATATAAATATATGTATATATATATATATATGTTCTTATAAAACAAATATTAATAATAGCTACTATTAATATTTAATTATATGATGAAACATGTTATACTAATAATTTATTATTCTTATTTTACGGGTTATTTCAATAAACAGACAAAATATTTATCAAATATAAAATCAGTTTAAAAATATAAAACATAATTTAAGTTATGCTTCAAGTATCTATTGGGATACGAGTAAAATATTTTTAATCAAAAAATCTAATTTATATCACATCATAGATGTCTATAATTTGTAAGTATACATGTTTGTAAGTATGGATCAAATTAAAGTATAACACGTCGGGTTTGGTTTTATTTTGTACACATCCTCAAAATAATAAAGTAACCATATATCGTTCGGATTCGGGTTATATTGGTTTGAAAATCTAAAATCTGAAAACAAAACAAAAAAAAGATACTTATTTTTATAGAACTGTATATTAAAGTACTTATTTAAAATTTAGATAATTAATTTTAAATATCATTTTAAAATAAATATAGAACTAAATACTTAAACTAGATATTTATGTTTCAAATATTTATATTATGATTAATTTGGACATCCAGATCGATTCAGATTTTTTCCATATTTTCGGTTTTTGGGTTATTCATTCGGGTATGGCTAATAACACTTTGATTCAAATATATTTTGTACCACCCTACAAAACCCCTTCTGATATATTTTAGATTTTTGACCGGTTACGGATCCAAATTTTTTTGTTTACATTGAGTTTAGACGTGGAGTTATTGATTTTATGTACATGTCTACTTTATATAAAACAAAAATGCGGTCATATAATTAAATTTTCACAGAAATATTATCCTGCATTTTTAAAAATATTATGTTTGATGAAATTAATAAACTAAACAAGTCTATATTACATTCTACATGTATAGGAAATACGATTATATAAAGTTTGTATTAAACATAAATCTGCGCTTTCAAAGCGCATATCAAAATCTAGTCTTATATATTAAAACACAAGTTATCACCTTCATTCATATGTGTTTCTTTTTCAAATTGATCATTCTTTAAAAAAACTATCAGAATTATTAAATGTTACATAAGTTAATGATAATATCATTGAAGATCTTTATCTTTCGATTTAAAATACAAATAAAAGAAATCCAACAAAATCTTTAAATTGTATTTTGCTAACAATCAATGAATTTAAATTCTAATTATTATAAAATATCAGTAAAATTTATTATTTTATTTATAAATGAATTTAAATTATCTAAAATATTTCTAATTGTATTTTAATGAGAATAACAATATAAATTATTGAAATTGCGGAAATACTTATTTACAAAATTTAAATAGATTATGTTAGAAACAAATACTAAAATTATATTTCAAATATACAAAAAAATATTTATATATTTATCTATGTATACTACTAAAATAATTTATGAGTTATTTCATGTGTAATTGTTTTTTATTTGGATCATTTTTAAAATAATTATCAAATTTTACATAATTTAATTATAATATCATTTCATATATTTATCTTTTATTTGAAATTAAATTTTATCCAGAGAACACTATATATTCTTAAAATCTTAAGAAAAAAACTATATAATAGAGTTTGATCCACACAGATTTTTCATTTTATACATATAAAATTTTGCTATTATTATAAAAATTAAATATATGATTTATATTTAATATTATATTTTATACATTTAATAATATATGTTAATGGTAATTTATATTTTCATGTTGTGTTTCAAAATCATATTTTAGTATTTATCACTTTAATATTTTTCAAGATTTTATAAATAAATATATTGTTATCTATTGATAATTTTTTATAAGATAATAAATAAAAAGAAAATCTGCACGTTTGTACGAGTCAAGATCTAGTGTTATGTTTAAATTACTTTTAAAGTTTTTTGTTCAAATTTCTTACCTGTGTTATCTTAATTAATTACTGAATTAAATTATGTTTAGATCAATATTTTTGTTTAACATATTGAGTATTTGCAGAAAAAATAATATTTAAACTATTGTATTAGGGAATAAAACTAAAACTTTAATTGGGAAGCAAACGGATCTGGCACACCAATCCAAAAATATCTTTTAGTTTTCTAAAGAAAAATATTTTTGAAATAGACTTGTGAATCTTCTTCACGTGATCAAACAAACCTAATCTGTCCAAAAGAAGAATCCAAAACAAATAATATTCGATATCATCAGATCTGTTACAAAAAGCCTTTATTATTTGATGTGAAATCGAAACTCAAAAGAAATCAATTCTTCTTGGAGGTGGTTTTGGAATACTTGTCTTTGACCCAGCTAAGACCCAGCGACGTTCCCGTCTTCACTTTCTTGAACCCCGAACTCGCCGCTGCTTTCGTCTTCCCCAGTCCAGCTTCCATCTTCTCTTTGTATTTACTCTTCGCACCACCGCCGCTGCCACTTTTACTCACTTCCGTCGTTTTCCCCCTCGACTGATTGTTGTCCCACAGATCTGCCCAAGAATCTTTCTCCATATTCTATGAGACGAGAGAGAAAGATTTTATTATTTCTGTGGAGAGATACTTGATTTTGATTTGGTGAGAAAATGTGTTTATTTAATTAAGTGATGAAATTGTGATTATGTAACAAAGTCACCCTTTTTATATAGAGTTTGCTGGGGGTAGATAGAAAGCGTGACTTCGTTACTCTGAAGATTCAGATTACTTCTTCATTTCCATATCTTTTTATCATTAGTTGGCAATATTAAGACTTATAGTATTTTGATTTGACTTTCACTAATCGGAATTTAATGATAATTGAACTGAATTTGTTGTTATGTTACATTGTATATTGCGCGTTAATCGTAGGAGTATTTCTTAATTCTCACGACTATGTATTACATTTATGTATTAGTTAATGTAATGCTTTATCTTTTTTAAGTCTCTCTTCAATTTTGACTTTGTTAAGGTTTAATTTTTGACAAAAATAAGTGTACGCAAATTTACAACAAAAAGTGCAAGTGTTGCAAACCATTAATGTCCTACAGTAAAAAAAATCAAAATTTTGTCCATTTTTTTTTTGACCAAATTTTTATCCATTTAAAAGTTGTAATGCAATGATTTTAGAAATAAAGTTCAAAATAGCACAAATTCAAGTTTTTTTCCAAACTAGCAGCCAAAACTTAAAGTCATTAAAAATATATTTCATTAAAGAGATGATTTATCTCTTATACCACTTTTTGACTAATTAAAAAAGTAATAGATGAGTTATATTTATGCCACTTCTTGACTAATTTACTCTAAAACTCTAAACCATGAAACTTTAACTCTAAACTTTAAATCCTGAAATTTCCACTCTAAACTCTGAAACGTCAATTCTATAACCCTAAACCTTGAAATTTCAAATTTAAACCATAAACCTTAAAACATCAATTCTAAACCCTAATCACTGAAATTTCAATTCTAGACCTTAACCCTGAAACTTCAACTCTAATCTTTGAACTCTTAAATATCTAAAAAATCCTAATGTTTTACCTTTAAATCCATAAAACATAAACTTTAAAAAATCCTAACCCTAAAATATCAACTCTAATACCTAAACCCTAAAATATCAACTCTAAAACCCTAAGCCCTGAAATTTCAACTCTAAACCCTAAATCCTGAAACATCAACTCTAAAACAGTAAAACCTAAAACTTTAATTCTATACCCTGAAACATCAACTCTAAAACCTTAAACCCTGAAACTTCAAATTTAAACCCTAAATCTTGAAACATCAACTCCTAAACCCTGATGTTTTACCTCTAATCCCCTGAAACATCAACTCTTAAACCCTAAACCCTGAAACTTCAACTCTAAACCCTAAAACATCAACTCTAAAATCTTAAACCCTGAAATTTCAACTCTAAACCCTGAAACATAACCCCTAAAACCCTAAACCATGAAACTTCAACTCTAAACCCTAAACCCTGAAAATCCAACTCTAAAAGCCTAAACCCTGAAACTTCAGCTATAAAACCTGAAACTTCAACTCTATACCCTAAACCCTGAAAATCTAAATCTAAAACCCTAAGCCCTAAAACTTCATTTTTAAACCCTGAAACATCAGTTCTAGAACCCTAAATCTTGAAACTTCAATTTTAAACCCTAAACCCTAAAAATTATTTCTAAACTCCGAAACTTCAACTCTAAACCTAACCCTGAAATTTCAACTCTAAACCCTAAACACTGAAACATCAACTCTAAAACCCTACACTCTGAAACTTCAACTCTGAACCTTAAACCTTGAAACTTCCACTCTAAACCTTGAAACATCAATTCTAGAACTCTAAACCCTGAAACATTAAATCTTCAAACTTCAACTTTAAACCCTAAACCCTAAAACTTCAACTCTAAACCTTGAAACATCAATTCTAGAACCCTAAACCTTGAAACCGCAACTCCTAACTCTAAACCCTGAAACTTCAACTATAAACCATCCTGAAACATAAAATTTAAACCCTAGACCCTCAACTTTAACCCTTAATCCCTAAACTCTATATTTTTCAAAATTTGAATCCTAAACCCCAAAACCCTTAATATATTAAAATCCGGATGATATATTAATGTTCATGATAGGCTTCACGGTAATGTATTATAAGAATTGGAAAGCCTTAAGCGTGTTCAGGATGGGCTTCCGAATAATATATTAATCTTTAGGATAATGTATCGTAAAATTTGGAATGCCTTGAGCGTGTTCATGATGGGCTTCCAGATAATATATTAATCTTCAGGTTAATGTATTATAAAATTTAGAAAGTCTTGAGCGCGTTCAGGATTGACTTCCAAATAATATATTAATCTTCAGGATAACGTATTATAAAATTTGGAAAGTTTTGAGCGTGTTCATGATGAACTTCCTGATAATATATTAATTTTGAGGATAATGTATTATAAATTTTGGAAAGCCTTAAGCTTGTTCAGGATGAGCGTCCAGATAATATATTAATCTTCATGATAATGTATTATAAATCTTGGAAAGTCTTGAGCGGGTTCATGATGGGCTTCCTGATAATATAGTAATCTTTAGAATATGATTTAAGGTTTAAGGTTTACAGTTTACAGTTTAGGGTTTAGAGTTGATGTTTTAGGATTTAAGGGTTTAGAGTTTAGTATATTAATCTTCAAACTTCAACTTTAAACCCTAAACTCTGAAACTTCAACTCTAAACCCTGAAACATCAATTCTAGAACTATAAACCTTGAAACTTCAACTCTAAACCATAAAACCTGAAACTTCAACTATAAACCATCCTGAAACATAAAATTTAAATCTTAAACCCTCAACTTTAACCCTTAATCCCTAAACCCTATATTTTCGAAATTTGAATCATAAACCCCAAAACCCTTAATATATTAAAATCCGGATGATATATTGATGTTCATGATAGGCTTCACGGTAATGTATTATAAGATTTGGAAAGCCTTGAGTGTGTTCAGAATGGGCTTCCAGATAATATATTAATCTTCAAGATAATGTATTATAAAATTTGGAAAGCCTTGAGCGTGTTCAGGATGGACTTCCAAATAATATATTAATCTTCAGGATAATGTATTATGAAATTTGGAAAGCCTTTAGCGTGTCCAGGATGGGCTTTCAGATAATATATTAATCTTCAGGATAATGTATTATAAAATTCGGAAAGCTTTGAGCGTGTTCAGGATGAAATTCCTAATAATATATTAATTTTGAGGATAATGTATTATAAAATTTGGAAATTCTTGAGCGTGTTGAGGATGGGCTTCCAGATAATATATTAATCTTCAAGATAATGTATTATAAATCTTGGAAAGCCTTGAGCGTGTTCAGGATGGGCTTCCTGATAATATAGTAATCTTTATGATAGGATTTAAGGTTTAGAGTTTAGAGTTTAGAGTTGATGTTTTGGGGTTTAAGGGTTTAAAGTTTAGTATATTAATCTTCAGGATAATGTATTCTAAAATATGGAAAGACTTGACCGTGTTCATGATGGGTTTCCAGATTGAAGATAATGTATTATAAAATTTAGAAAGCCATGAGCGTGTTCAGGATGAGCTTCCAGATAATATGTTAATCTTCAGGATAGACTTTAAGGTTTAAGGTTTAGAGTTTAGGGTTTAGAGTTGATGTTTTAGGGTTTATGGCTTAAAGTTCATGTTTTAGGGGTTTGGGTTTAGGGTTGATTTTTTATGGTTTAGGGTTTAGGTTTAGAGTTTAGGGTTGAAGGTTTAGGTTTTGGGATTTAAGGTAATGTTTTTTAGGTTTTAGGCTTTAAAGTTTAAGGTTTAAGATTAGGGTTTAGAGTTGATGTTTTAAGGTTTATAGTTTAGTATATTAATCTTCAGCATAATGTATTCTAAAATTTGGAAAACCTTGAGCATGTTCAGGATGGGTTTCCGGATTGAAGATAATGTATTATAAAATTTGGAAAGCCATGAGCATGTTCAGAATGGGCTTCCAGATAATATATTAAGCTTCAGAATAAACTTTAAGGTTTAAGGTTTAAGGTTTAGAGTTTAGAGTTGATGTTTTAGGGTCAGGGCTTAAAGTTCATGTTTTAGGGGTTTGGGTTTAAAGTTGATTTTTTTTAGGTTTTAGGGTTTAGGTTAAAGTTTAGGGTTGAAGGTTTAGGGTTTAGGATTTAAGGTAGAATTTTTAGGGTTTAGGATTTAAGATAAAAATTTTAGGGTTTAAGGTTTAGGGTTTAGAATCGTGGTTTAGTGTTTAGGTTTTAAGGTTTTGAGTTTACTTTTATGGTTTAGGGTTTAGTGTTGATAGTAAGGTTTAGAGTTTGAGGTTTTAGGGTTTTAGGGTAAATTTTTTAGTGTTAAATATTTAGAATTTATTTATAGGGTTTAAGGTTCAGTGTTGATGATTTAGGGTTTAGAATTGAGGTTTAAAGTTTAGGTTTGGTTTTTTTAGGGTTTAGGGTTTAGAGTTTATTTTTTAGGGTTAATGTTTTTAGTGTTGATGGTTTAGGGTTTAGAACTGTGGTTTAGGGTTTAGAATTGTGGTTTAGGATTTATATGTTACTTCTATGGTTTAAGGTTTAGTGTTGATAGTAAAGTTTAGAGTTGAGGTTTTAGGGTTTAGGGTTTAGAATTGAAGTTTAGGATTTAGAGTTTATTTTTATGGTTTAGAGTTGAAGGTTTAGGGTTTAGGGTAATTTTATAGGGTTAAGGGTTTTGAGTTTGTTTTTAGGGTTTGGGGTTCTGTGTTGATGATTTTGGGTTTAGAATTCAGGTTTAGGGTTTAGAATCGAGGTTTAGGGTTTAGGGTTAATGTTTTAGTGTTTAGATTTGAATGTTTAGGGTTTAAAGTTAGAATTGTGATTCAGGGCTTAGGTTTTAGGGAGTAGAGTTTACTTCTATGGTTTAAGGTTTAGTGTTGATAGTAAAGTCTAAAGTTGAGGATTTAGAGTTTAGAATTGAGGTTTAGGATCTAAGGTAATTTTCTTAGTGTTAAAGATTGATAATTTTTCTTAGGGTTTAGAGTTCATTGTTGATGGTTTAGGATTTAGAAAGATTTACGGCTTAGGTTTTAGGGTGTAGAGTTTACTTATATGGTTTAAGGTTTAGTGTTGATAGTAATGTTTAGAGTTGATAGTAAGAGAGTTGAATTTTAGGGTTTATGATTCTTTTTTTATATTGATATGTAAGGGTATCAATGTCTTTTAACCTATCCAGACTGTTCGGATTTAGTGGATATGTCTACTAGATCGGAGGACTGGCCAGCTTTCTCGACAGAGCTAGAGGTGTTTAAGCGACTATGAGAGAATTTCGAGGATGTGAGTCTGTCTCATATTCCGCGGAGTAGAAATGGACAAGCGGATGCACTAAC